CGATAGGAAATAGGAATAGGATAGATAACGATCGAAACATGCGGGTGCCGCCGGAGCGGATCGTACGAGCACAAGAGCAGAAGTCGCACGCTTCGTGCCACCAATAGTGCGGTCTCCGGCGACGCCGGTGGACCTCGCAGACTACACGAGCCGCAGCCCGCAGAGGCACAGATCCTCTCTTTTTTCGGTGACCTTTGCTGTTTGGATCTTGGTCTTTCAGGCAAGACGAATCTAGCCGGGCGTTAGGGTTAAAAAGCCGTATCTTTCAGCGTTCTTTTGATCAGCAGCCTCTCGCCTCTCGGTCTGACTGACCTGATCACATCGGCTGGCATCGTAAGACTGACGTCGTTGGTGTGCTGACTTCGGGACAACGGGAGTCCATAGGATCGCCCGTGCAAATAAATTTAACTTCTAGAAGTATCTTAACGTGAACAGGTTTGTTGAATCTTGCAAAGTTGCAAGGTTTACTAATTGCGTGAATTATTATTGCGCCCTTGATGTGAGGTCTCCTGAGCCGAGGCGTTCGGACCTTTGCGTTCGCTTGTACTTTCTGTGAAAATAAAATCTGCATGAAGTTCAGATATGTCACGTTTGCAGGCATGCATGAGATGTTGGCAGGAAGGAACTTTTGTTATCCGAAGGAAAATCTGAACTAGTATTGCATTACCATTAACCATGATCTAACCATGACACCAGCACCGCAGTTAATTAGCCAACAAATGTAACGTGGCAAGGTACTTAAAGGTGTCTTCATGGACTGCAGTCTGCAGCATCTATGCTTTGCATGCTGCACTAGGGTCTGGGAACACACTGTACTTGTATGTTATCGCAGCTGCAGTTATTTGCAGGAACTACGGGCGGTGCAAAGGAGAGAGGTAGTGTGTGCTGAACTTCTCACCACAATAGGCGGCTCGGCCTGAAGATCGATAACGACAGCTTGGTTGGCGTTGATGACGGTTACGTCTACCTCCAGCAACTGAACTTTGGCGAGGTAGAGGTTAGGAAGGTGAGAAGATGTACCATCGCTTTGTACAAGCATGTATTACTTATGGCCTATTTGGCACGGTTTAACGTACAAGCATGTATTACTTATGGCCTATTTGGCACGGTTTAACTTTACTAGTAAAGCTGTTTTTTTTTAAACAGCTTCATGAGCAATTTTCTAGGTGGAGCTGAGCTGTTTTTAGAAAACTGTTTGGCAAAACAACTTCACCAACAGCTTCATGCATGGATGAGAGAGAAATAAGTGAGAGAGCTGGGATAAGTTACCTTTTTCAACTTTATCCCAACTCATGTCTTTATGAGAGGGAGGAAAAACAACCTCATTGGTAAACCTGTGTGAAAAAAGTTATTTTAGAAATAAGTGTTTGGCAAATAAAACAGCTCAGCTGTGCCAAACAGGCCCTTAATACAGCCGAATATAATAATACTCGCTAATTTCCATTTGGGCCCCGTTCGGATGGTATGGTTCTGGAGGAATTTGGATGGTTTGGAGGAATTCTGGAGGAATTTATGAGAGAAAAACATTGTTCCGGATGAAAAAGAAGCAGATCAAGCCGGGTTTAAGGGCACGCGAATGGGGCCTTGGTCTGATCCGAACACTGTGTAAACCTGTGTGAAAAAAAGCTAGTACAGACGTTCTCAATTAGCAGCCGTGGACACTTTGCTGTGGGTTCACAATACGTGTCTATGCGCATGCATCTTTTGTTTGTTTAAGGCTGACCCCGACTTTAAGTTTGGTCCTATTGAATATAAGATTAACCCCTGTTATGTTTTAGGTCTTACCTAGATCTTAATACGAGATCTATCTCTCTTTCTTCCTTATCCGCACGGAGCGGAGGGCCCCCCGCTGTCTCTGCCCTCCCCCTCTTCCCCTCCCCTCCCCCTTCCCCCTTCCCCCTTCCCCCGCACTTCTAGCGCCACCCCTCCATCTGCCCTCTACCACCAACCTCTATCCCACTTCCACCGCTGCCCATTTGCCCACTACTAGTGCCGCCCCTCCTTGGCTGAAGTTCCTCCCTTTGCCCACTTACAACGCCGCCCCTCGCCACACCGAAGCGCCTCCCTTCGCGAATGCCAGCACCGCAATCTCCTCTCCGGTCATCTCCACTGCAAGTTCCCCGGCAGACAGCGGCCAGGACACATGCCACCCTCCAGCTCAACCCTGTCTCTGCTCACATTGTCAACGTCAACCAACCCAAGTTTTTTATTTGTCGAGGTCGGGTCCTAACCTTGAGGCTCGATCTTAAGCTATTTCGATTAAGGTCGAGCTCTGGTAAGTGATATGTATAAGACTGACCCTAAGATTGCCACCTAGGACTTAAGGCCGATGGAAATCATCCCACGCTATGGATGCTCTAAGCAACAATTCCACGTGCTAGATGCATGCGTGTGGACAAATTCTGAATGCACGAATCACACCGGAGGTGTCCATGGCTGCTCCATAAAATCGCCCTCACTGAATTTAGATTCGCCCACATAAAGGTTTTCACATGCAACAGACACATGTAACTGTAGCACACATGTACAAAGTAATGTGGGTAATCAAGCACGAATCTAATAAAACTCCGATTGACATTGTGATAAAGATGAGGATGACCTTGAGTAGATATTCAATAGCATTTTTGACTAATAAAAAAAGTAAGGACAAGGAACTGTTCGAGTTGCCATAGCTTCACAGCAGATACTTAAACGAGAGTTTGTTCTTTTTGTTAAAAAAAAAGATGGAGGACATCGAAGGGAGAAATCAAAATTTTATTTTGCTTTTAAGCTAAAATCAACATCGGGTGTGGGTGTGGGTGAGTCAATGTGCACGTACGAAGAAATTAAATACAGCTTATACAGCTTATAAAGCATGATACATGGGCTTCTCATCAGTTAGTGGAAAGCCGAAAATCAGTCACCTTCAATTTGTTTAGCCCATCCAAAATGAGTCCATTTGGGTCACAGGCACACAGCGCAACAAAAATGGGCCGAGGTTTGGTGTTTGGAATATGTTTCGTTACTTTTGAGACACGGTACATACAAAAATAAGGACACGCTATAGACAATCCAATAACTAAAGTACAGATGCTTCTAATCTGAAAGAGGACAAATATATTTTCCCTCAGCGAACTTCAAACTCGATTTGAAAGTTTTCACATTTTTATGGTTAGCGATACGAAGCTTGGTAGTTGTTTGACGAAATACGTCCGGCGGTCTATCGAGGGATATACTCATAGTAGAAGATGAATCGGTGGAGGTGCGCGTGAAGGAACCGGATGGTGACACAAAACGCAAGAGACAACGATTAGACAGGTTCGGACCGTCAGCTTGACGTAAAATCCTACATCCTGTGTCTCTGTGGATCGTATTGCGTATGATCAGATGCCTTAGGCTAAGCCTAGAATCCGTATGAACCTTATATGCTCTGGAGGAGTAGGATTATAAAGAAAGTATCATATTTTGTATTATACAATATCTAATAAATCATATTTTCTTGTAGCCTTACGGTGCACGCCGATCAGTGTCGTGCGCCGCACGTGCTTGATTTAGTGGGCTGAGCCCCTAATGTAGCTGACGATGAAGCACATGCGATGAGTAGTCTAATAACTAGTCGACGGCAAAGTGAGCACCGAGCCGGAGCGAGTGCTGTAAACCTCGTCGTTTTCATCGTGAAAGAATATTGGTTATCCGCTACATTCCTGATCGCATGATGACTCGGACGATTTAGCCTTTCCCATTGGAGGACACCGTGCCCTCCATAATTCTATCCAAGGCGCTCCTCCCACACAGGCACACAGCTCACAGCTGAGTGTCCATTTGCTTATGATCGTGTACTGTACGTTCTTATCCACTTCCTAGGACCATCCACGTTCGCGGTTTCCCTTTCACCTATAGCGGCGCTACTACCTACTGTACAGCAGTCACACGCTCCGGCTTTTCACCGCTTCCAATGCTCTGCCTCCTAAAGCTTGCCCTACCGTCCGCCACGGGGAGGATGAACCAAGCTCATGCACCGGCTTCATCAATCTTTGCATGCCAGTTGAGAATAATGCATATGCATATGAGCATATTTGTTGGAAATATTTGCATATATACTATCAAAATAACTAACCCACGTTCTCTTAGTGAACAGACCTTCGTAGAAGGCTACCACAGATGACAAAGATGCCAAATTGCCAATCTCACTGCACCGTCTCTTGATCCAGTTGAACTCTTGTACTATTCCGTAAGCCTTGTGACAGCAGTAGACTCGGAGCAGCGAGGCAGCGGGCAGACGGGCAGGCGCCAAGACGCATCGATCCCTGGATCCATGATAAAAAAGGCAGAGAAAAAGCTGCCAAAAATTGGAATGGGGAAGGGACAAGGCGGCACCACTCACCACTCACCAAGATGCATCGAGCCATCGAGGGCCGAACAGCGAAAAGAGCCAAGAGAGAGAAAAAAGCACTCAAGTTACGAGTTACCCATGGGCCATGGGCGCAGTTCATGAGTAGAGTAGAGAAGGTGCAGACTGCAGAATTCATCGAGGCCGCAATGAATGTACTCGGTCGGAGTTCTTTGTTCTACTGTAGTAGTATGATTTACGGAGTTTAGCAAGTGATTCAACATTTGAACATGCGCGAACGATCATTGCTCATCGAACTTAAAGAAAATAAAAAATCAAGTCTTAAATGAAAGGGTCTGGTTGGAATCATAAAGTGTCTTTCTACCACACTTTAGATTCTTTCTATTATATTATCTTGAATCTACAAGTTTTATTTCAGACTGCAAATTGTAAGCAGCAACAGCATCACATCAGTCTTGCAGCCAGAACGCATACGGAGTACATACATCCAACGGCCACTAGCCCAGTACCTACAGCCCACAGAAGAACACAGCACAGCCCATAGGCCCATAGCTATTACAGCACAGAAGCGCACACACTAGACAACACGCGCACCGCAAATCCTACTACTAGTACTAGCGAGTAGCGACACTTGTCGACGGCCACCCCTCCGATCTCCGAGCTCTGAGCTCTAGTGGCAGAAGATGACCTTGAGCTCGCGCGGCGCGGCGCACTCGTGGGTGAGGGAGGGGCTGTCGTGCGCGTAGGTGAAGGCCTGCGGGCACTCGCGCTTGAAGAACTCCGAGTACTTGGACGAGCGGCAGGTGCGCGGGCTGTTGTACATGTTGCGGCAGCACAGCTCGTCGGTGCGGAAGGCCTCGCAGCCGCTCTTGCACGCGAGGACGCTCCCCGACGGGGACCGCAGCTGCAGCTCGCCGGGGCAGGTCTCGGTGAGGTTCTTGCGGCAGGCGAGGACGGGGCAGTTGCCCCGGCCCTCGTGCGGGGTCACGGACAAGCCCACGTTGAAGCCGTCCACCATGCTCACCCCGTACGAGGTCTGGTCCTTGCCGTTGCCGCCGTGGTGGAGGTTCACCTGCGCCAGCGTCGCGGGCGCCGCGCCGCCGAGCCCGCCGCACTGCAGCCGCCCGCCGCAGTCGCCCGTGGCGCAGTGGAGCTGCGCGCCGGCGCCCGCGCAGCCCGTGCGCGCCCAGATGCGGCCCGACCAGGGGTGGGCCGGCGCCGGGAAGGACTTGTGGGAGAGCGGCGGGAGGAAGAAGCCACCGCCCTCCAGGACGTCGTGGCCGGAGTTGGCCTGGATGCCCGGCCACACCGGGTAGGGGCAGTTGTTCACCACGGTGAGGGTCATTGGGGCGTAGTCGGCGGCCACCAGGAGGCCGCAGCTCAGGAGCGTGGTGGCGAGCAGGAGGAGGAGGAGCTTGGGAGAAGCCATGGTTGGGTTCTTGTTCTTGAGCTGGCTGTGATTTGTGGCCGTGACAAGTGAAGTGAGGACCGGGGTTTTAGCAGGTGGGGTGGTTTTATAGGACGTGGGGGTTGTTGGTCCAGTGGGCGTCGTGGGCTTTGTTTGGCTCGAGCTGCGGCGAACTGGTGTGGGCGTGTCCGTGTCTCGAACTCTCGATGCATCGGTTGCTTTTGCATTTTTGCAAGCAGTTACTATTTTACTAACAACAAACCTCTCGCTTCAGCTTCGGAGCTTCCACCCACAGCTTCCCATCAGAGGATAAACGCAGCTGTCCTTCAGCGCAGTAATACGTAGTACTGGGCCTGCGTTCGGCTGCTGGAAATTTCAGCCGGAATTCACTGTTCACGGCTGAAATTTACTGTTTATGTTCACACAAATTTTTCTAGATTTATTCAGATTTCTTTAAATTCTTCCCAACGAACAGACCCAGTACACGAATGTTCGGTAGGCCTAAACGATTCTCGCGGTAGTCGTGTCACCATTCTGGCTGACATTACATCCAGAATTCAAGATGTACGCGAACACTTTGGTCACTGGGGAAAAAATATCTGTCCTAAATTGACTCAGTCACATCTATTCTATGTTTGCTGTCAATGCTATTTGTCATTTTACTATCACACTATATTATTTGACAAATATTTTAACGGAGCGACCTGCACCCCCGACCCCAACCCACACCCTGAGGGTCCCGATCACGCCGCCGCATGGCGCCCCGCCCCTCCTCCTCCCCCTCATCCACATTCTCTCCTCCCAACTCCGGGACCAACCTCAAGCTCCATTAAGCACGCCCTAATAGAACCCTAGTCCGACCCACCCACTGGTGGGCGCTTGGCCGCCACCACCCCAGCTTGTTGGCGCCCCCACCACCTCCCCCTCGTCATCCACCTCCCCTCCACTCCTCGCCCCCGACGCCGACCCATGCCTCCACCGGAGTGGCAGAACCACCTAAATTATATGGCCCACATGCACATGTCAGTGTCCTAAAGACTTCTGACTGCTGCACACGAGAGCCAGATAACTCCGGTAGTCTGTCGGGTGTCCTCGGGGAACCCCGAATCATCCACATTTTACAACTCATACAAGATCAACATGGAGTTACCACAACATTACAACATTTGTTACAAAATATCATATACCGGAGTGCGGAAGACTTATAATATTAGTTTACAAAACATGTTCAGGTAGAAACTCAACTTAAGTTCCAAAAGGTGAGTAGATCTATAGAAGCAACTTAGATGAAGCACCTAGGGTAGAAGAGAATGTCAGATCATGTCGAGCCTACTGACATGACCTCGATTAGCAGCACAAGTCAGAACCTGCAACAGGGGTTAACAAACCCTGAGTACTTGAGGGTATTCAACAACTCTTATCCGACTAAAAGAAAAGACTCCAAGGGTATACAGGCTTAAAGGAAAGATTGAAGCAAGAATAACTTTTGCAGAAAAGCTTACTACAAGTGGATCCTTACTTTCAATGTTTTAGCTGGGTATTGAGTCATTAGTAATATCCAGTTTGCACCTAATCTAGCTCAATCACTTCTTTAAGCATCTCAACTCATCTTAAATCATCTTGTAACCATAAGTAACCATATTTTATTGATTAACTACGATGCAGGTCAGAGAATCAAGTCTCCATAACCGAGGAGTACAACGATTCGAATCGATTAGGCCCAGCTAGGGTTTCCTTACCACACGACATATGCAGGTCGCGGTTTTAGAATTACATATATCAACCTTCACTCGGATCCTTCAAATTGTGAACCGGTCTGTGCTACCCGAGAGCACAGTACTCCACCTCCTTGTGCCACTCCTGGTGGATCCACAAGATGTGTACACGCTACTCTCACCATCTCCCATGTCTAGTGCGCAGTTGTCTTTTTACATAATGGAATAGCTGAGGTATTAGGTTTACTAGAGTATGTGGCCAGTACTGTAAGGTCTCGACCACATGGTGGCCTACAACGGTACGGTCCTCAATCGACACAGGCGGGACGAGCACGACCAGGTGAACCTATCTGCCCAAGAACCCGTAACACCAAGTCCCGCCCGGTCTCAATTTAGCATTATCACTAGGTAGCGTGCCCGTGCGTTACTACGGGATAGCTAAACTTTTATACTAAAAATACATGGATCGCATGATAAGATAACAATACTGTGAAATTAAATACCGACGTTAAAGTGACATTTAATTTAAAAATCAAAGTTCATGAAATTAACACAGTCACGGAGAGCGCGGCGTCACAAGCTCACAAACTCTACTGTACAGACCTTTCCGTGCTAACACTACAGGATATTTCATAATAATACAAATCAAACAAGCAAAAGGCAATGCATATCTTGGTATTAAAGCATCGAATGAGATATAAGGTTCTTGGAGAGAGAGAGGGGGAGGGGGAGAAAGGTGAGGGAGTTAGGGAGGGAGAGTGTCGGTGCGGGACCCACGGGATACCCCGCAAGGAAGGGAGAAGATCTGGTCTAACTAGGATTCTTTCCATGTAATCTTAGTAGTAGTATTATTCTGTAATCCTACTAAGAACTCTCATTGTAAACCGACTAGGATTCTGACCTCCTGACTATATAAAGGAGGGCAGGGTTCCTAGAGACGGGACTTTACAACAACGACGACACAACACTTTATAATCAATCCAACGCAAAGGTTAACGCCGACTGGACGTAGGGCTATTACTCGATCCACGATCGAGGGTCCGAACCAGGATAAATCGACTGTCTCTTACGTTAACCATCGAGTTCCGCATACGCTGAAGCCCAAACATACTGCCCCGAGTACCCCTGTGGCAGGCTATCGGTGGTCAAACATCGACAGCTGGTGCGCCAGGTAGGGGCTTTCGGCGACCTTACATCCGAGATCTCAACGGACCTCGACAACATGATCTTCTCGATGGGATCAACCTTCATCTTCGGTTCGTGGATCTACAAGGCAGGTGACAATGGCAAGCTCCAAAGCCGTCTCCTCGAAGATTCGGATCACCATGAAGACCATTCTATTTCGGCGACTACGACAGATCAACTTGCTGGAAGATTCGTGCAGCTCGCGATGTCCGATCCAACTCAGATTTTGTGACTTTGCGCATCCGACTCAAACTCAGGTTCCGCATCCGAAATGGAGTCTTACCCGAGTTCTTTCGAGAAACCGAGTTCTTTTCCGATGGGGCTTAGGAACATGGCCTTGGCCTATCAAGAATACAACTCGGAGTACACTCAAAGTTCTTTCAAGAAGTTGGGTTCTTTTTCGTTCGGACTCCACAACATGGCAACGTCTTATCAAACATGACCCGAAGGATTCCTTGATCCGGTGCTTAGAATGCCACTGAAAGGAGCTCAGGAAGGTCTCGTACTAACTATAACATCTCAAGACTGCATTGTCCACTGGCCGGGTTCCGTTCCTGAGGATAGCGGCACCCAACTAGTCGACAATACGACAACAACAATTCTACCCTACCAAGAAGGAGACTCGATCTGCGACCTTGAAGTCTCTACTAAAGTTATCGACTACTCCGACAGTGTGGAAACCGACGCTGATAGCGGAACAATTCACGCATGAGAAGTACTCATGGTTCGCTGCCCTCGATCACCATTGGTCCCCCCAGAAGCGTCCAACGTCAGGTCATTGGATGAATCTGAGTCCAACATATCGCCCTTTACCCAGGGGCACGATGGTGAGACCGAGTGAAAGGTCCTAATGGCTAGAGGGGGGGGGGTGAATAGCCTAATAAAATTTCTACAACAACACTTAACAAAAGGATTAGACAATTATGAGGCAAAGCGAGTTTTGCGCTAGCCTACTCAAAATGCAAGCCACCTACCACAATTCTAGTTTAGGTAGAATCTATTCACACAATAGCTATGACACTACTCTATATTACTGTGCTCTCAAAGGCTAACTAAAGAGCCACACCAACCAAGCAAGCAAGCTCTCACAACTAACTACACTAAAGAGCTTGACAACTAGTTTGCGGTAATGTAAAGAGAGTGATCAAGAAAGTTATACCGCCGTGTAGATGAAGGAACCAATCAATCACAAGGATGAATAACAATGAAGACCAATCACCTCGGAATCAATGATGAACACAATGATTTTTTACCGAGCTTCACTTGCTTGCCGGCAAGCTAGTCCTCGTTGTGGTGATACACTCACTTGGAGGTTCACGCGCTAATTGGCTTCACACGCCAAACCCACAATAGGGTGCCACACAACCAACACAAGATAAGGATCACACAAGCCACGAGCAATTCACTAGAGTACCTTTTGGCTCTCCGCCGGGGAAAGGTCAAGAACCGCTCACAATCACCACGATCGGAGCAGGAGACAATCACCCACCTCCGCTCGATGATCCTCGCTGCTCCAAGCCATCTAGGTGGCAGCAACCACCAAGAGTAACAAGCGAATCCCGTAGTGAAACACGAACACCAAGTGCCTCTAGATGCAAACACTCAAGCAATGCACTTGGATTCTCTCCCAATCACACAAAGATGTTTAGTCTATGATGAAAATGAGTGGGAGGGCTTTGGCTAAGCTCACAAGGTTGCTATGTCAATGCAAATGGCCAAGAGTGTGAGCTTGAGCCAGCCATGGGGCTTAAATAGAAGCCCCCATGAAATAGAGCCATTGTACCCCTTCACTGGGCACAACGCGGGGTGACCGGACGCTCCGGTCATATTGACCGGACGCAGGACCCAGCGTCTGGTCGCCCGATGACGGCCACGTGTCACACTGCATTCAACTGGAGTCGTCTGATCTCAATGGTCATCTGTTGACCGGACGCTCCGCTACAACTGACCGGACGCTCAGCCTCCAGCGTCCAGTCGTTTCTAGTAAGGTTCCAGAAATGATATTTCACGACCGGACGCGTCCGGTTATGCCCGACCGTACTCACCCAGCGTCCGGTCACACAACGTCTCCTCTGTGCGCCTCAAGTCAGCGTACATCAGCACTGACCGGACGCACCCTGC